CACAGAATGTGACTTTATTTGGAAATAAGGTCATGGCAGATGTAATTAGTTAAGTTAGGATGGGGTCATGCTGGACTAGAGTGGGTCCCTAATCTGACCAGTGTCCTTCTAAAGAGGGAAAATTTGGACACAGACACACACAGGGGAAATGCCATGTGAGGATACAGGTAAAGATGGGAGTGATGCTTCTGTACATCATGGAATGCTAATGATTGCCAGAAACAACCAGAAAGTAGGAAGGAGGCAAGGATCAAATTCTCACTCATCGCCCTCAGAAGGAACAGACCCTGCCCACAGCTTGATTTTGGACTTCTGTCCTCCGGAACTGGAAGCAAATGAACTTCTTTTGTTTAAGACACTCAACTTTGTTACAGCAGCCTTGCGAACTAACACACACACACACTTAAAATATTATATTATTAGGGGCACCTGGGTGGCTTCGTTGGTTAAGTGTCTGACTTTGGCTCAGGTCATGATCTCACGGTTAGTGAGTCTGAGCCCTGCATCCAGCTCTGTGCTGACAGCTCAGAGCCTGGAGCCTACTTCCGATTCTGTGTCTCCCTCTCTCTCTGCCCCTCCCCCATTTGCATTCTGTCTCTCTCTCTCTCTCTCTCTCTCTCAAAAATAAATAAATACATTAAAAAAAAACTTTTAATGTATTCTTAGGGAAAATTCTTGCAGTATTTGGTCAGATTTATAAATACTTTTCACAGTGGTAGAATGGATCATCAACACTGATTTCAGGAAACCTACTGTTATAATATTTACATGTACAGTATTTTCATTGGTAACTAATAAGCATATAGTCAACTTCATGCATCCATGTGCAAAGAATTTGAAATATAAATTATTTTTTTCCTAAGAGCAGAGCAAAGATTATTTATATGTAATATATTCAGTGCTGCTAAGCACTCAGATATCTGTCTTATATCATAGTTGATGAATAGGTGGTAAAATCCTTCTTGAAATCAAGTTGGCAAAATATATTAAGTACCATAAAATACAATCTTCCACTTCTCGTAATCTGCCTTAAAGGAACATGGTATGAAATTCAGATGCAGAATTATGGCTAAAGGTTATTTATTCCAGTGTTATTTTTGTTAATATATGCAGGAATCATCCAAAATGCCCAAATAACATGGGGATGGTTAAATCAATTATAACAGATTTTAATTTAAATTACTTTTAATAATGTTTAAAATATACTGTTGGGTGACAAACAATATATATGAAGCAGGGATTCTCAAAGTCTAATAGAGAAGCTGGTAAGGGTCCCCAAGACTTTTTTAAGGAGTATGTGAATTAAAATTATCTTCATAATAATACTCTGACATTATTTACATGTTCAATCTCCTTTTCTTATGACTGTATAGTGGGGTTTTCCAGAGTCTATAGGGAGCATCATGAGTATCTAAAAAAAAACAATTAAAATATTCCTTCCTGTGGCACCTGGGTAGCTCAGATGGTTAAGTGTAAAAATCTTGATTTCAGCTTGGGTCATGATCCCAGGGTCCTGGGATAGAGCCCTGCGTCGGGCTCCACACTGAGTGTGGAGTCTGCTTAAGATTCTCTCTCTCCCCCGCCCTCTACCCCTCCCCCCCCCCCCCGTGCTTTCTCTGTAAAATTAAAAAATTTTTTTTTCCTTCCTTTTCCAATTCTGTATCTGTGAGGCTGGATTTTCTTCATATATTTAGGCAAAGCAATATATCATAACAGGTTGGATGCAGAAGCCTTTGTGAGAATCCAGCTATTTTCTACTAAGTCAGACATTAAAAAGATTTCTAAAACAATGCCATTCTTTTCACTAATTTTTTGCTTTTATTATTGCAATTTTATTTTTTTTTATTTTTTTTCCAACGTTTTTTATTTATTTTGGGACAGAGAGAGACAGAGCATGAACGGGGGAGGGGCATAGAGAGAGGGAGACACAGAATCGGAAACAGGCTCCAGGCTCCGAGCCATCCGCCCAGAGCCTGACGCGGGGCTCGAACTCACGGACCGCGAGATCATGACTTGGCAGAAGTCGGACGCTTAACCGACTGTGCCACCCAGGCGCCCCTTTTTTTTTTTCAACGTTTTTTATTTATTTTGGGACAGAGAGAGACAGAGCATGAACGGGGGAGGGGCAGAGAGAGAGGGAGATACAGAATCGGAAACAGGCTCCAGGCTCCGAGCCATCAACCCAGAGCCTATTATTGCAATTTTAAACAAATAAATGTTTAAATTATTTGCCAAGTTTAATACCAGACAGTAAATATCAACAAAACACAAGAACAAAACTCTTGGGAATCTTCAATAATTGTTAAGATGGAAAATGGTTCTGAGACCAAAGAGTTTGAGAACTCTTATTCTAGAAAATATTATTTCAACCACACAACGAAGAGCTGCAAGGAATTTGCTGAATTGTTGGGATTATGCTGAATTGTTAAGAGTGATTATCTGTGGATGTTGGGTTTAAGGGTCATGGTTATTTTAACATCTTTACTTTTCTGTGTTTCCAAAAGTTTCCACTTTAGTATGTATTTCTTTTATATCTGATGAAGGGTAATTTTCTTTAATTTGCACTTTTCTGTTCTTCACCTTTAAAAAAATCTCTCTGCACTTAAGCCTTCATTTAAAACCTAAAATTGTAAAATGTCTCTTAATTATACTTGCATAGAGTCTCAGCTCACAAAATTCTGCCAGATTTAAGGTCTGCAGACAAATTAACCACAAGCTATATAGAGGTAGAATTTATAAATGGAATATGCACTGCACCAGCACTTTCCAGAGAAATGGCCTTTGAAACACCAGTGAATAGAGGAGACATCTTCCAGGCGATGTTTATGCCAAGGCTGAGATAAAAATTCACTTTGCATTTATTTATTCATTTTTGTTTGTTTCTTACTTAAAAGTTGACTGCCATGGAGCCTTAAAATTATCAATGATCTTAACTCCTATTCATTTCAAAATTTGACCTGTACAGAAAGGCTCACAAAACAAGCTCACCACCTATTTGTTTGGATGCTCCCAAGGACCAAAGGTTTTGGTTAATATATTCCACTATTCAATAGCTCTGCTTGTAAAAAAAAAAAAAAAATCTGAGTTATGATCCTTTTAATGTCTACAAAGCCCAAGTAGATGTGTGATCTTGGGCCAGTTCCACAGGTAAAACATTATGTTTTTAATATGTCATAGGCCTAATAATACAAGTTCTCATAAAGTTGTGAGCATTATATAACATATAAAACTAAACAGCAGCGCCTGGCATACGATTGATGCATAATTTGTGTACAATAACTATTGTTATTTTTGTGTTTCCAAATACTCCAAAACTGATATTGGGGCCAGCCAAAAATGGGCCCCTCAGTATCTTAGGAACATTCTATCAATCCATTGCTCTATTCCTGGTATTTACATCTGCCAAGAAGCCTTTCCAGCCTACCTAGCATTTTTCCTTTGGCTCCAGAACTTCTGGAGCGCATATTGCCTGGGATACTTCCTGCTGCCCCACTGCACCTGTATCACAAGCCTCTTTTTTTTTTTTTTCAACGGTTTTTTTTGTTTGTTTGTTTTTTTGTTTTTTTTTAATTTATTTTTGGGACAGAGAGAGACATAGCATGAACGGGGGAGGGGCAGAGAGAGAGGGAGACACAGAATCGGAAACAGGCTCCAGGCTCCGAGCCATCAGCCCAGAGCCTGACGCGGGGCTCGAACTCACGGACCGCGAGATCGTGACCTTGCTGAAGTCGGACGCTCAACCGACTGCGCCACCCAGGCGCCCTACAAGCCTCTTCATAGGCTGGACAGAGTTTTCTGCTTCCTTTATCTTCTCCCACTCGGTGTAGCATAGCCCCTCTGTGGATTGACTGGTTTCTTTTTCTTTTTTTAAGTTTCTTTATTATGAGAGAAAGAGAAAATAGAAGTGGGGGAGGGGCAGAGAGAGAGAGGGAGAGACAGAATCCCCAGCAGGCTCCACACAGTCAGGACACAGCCCAATGTGGGGCTTGAACTCACCAACCGTGAGATCATGACCTGAGCTGAAGTCAGACACTTAACCAACGAAACCATCCAGGCGCCCCTGGACTGATTGATTTCTGATACATTATCTCTTTCATGGTTCTTGCTCAACATTTCTCCTCTGGAGTATTTTGAGATTATTTTAGTCTCCTTCCTTGTCTCCTGTGGAATACTTATTAGAATAAATTAGACCCCCCTCTCTCCCATTCAATCGTCATGGCTCTAGGAGTCCTGTGAGTAAGATGAATTAAAACAGATATCTTTGTCTTCCTGGATCCTAAGAAATTTGATTAGCCATTTTTCATATTTCTCTATCCTTTAGGATTAGGCGATATCCCAGACCAATTCTCACCCACTCAGGTTTTCATAAATATTTTACAAACTCCTAAATGCCAGTAAGTTCCTAATTCCCTTGCCATTTATTTCATCCTTCAGCCAGCAGAAGACTGTAACCATCCAGAACTATATGGAGAGTAGAGACGAGGGGAGTGAGCATCTTATCAGGACAGACATGTTACCAAAATGGCCTTGCCTTTTTCTGGAGAGCCCAGGGATTCCCACTAGACCAAAACTAGGCTTCATAGTGCCTCAAGCAGAAACTCAGTGTTCCTAAAGATATATAAGGTGGATAGATACATATTCCCTGTATTTCTTACCTCTAGCTTACTGCAAAGGGTATTCTAAGGGAAGGCATGTTTGTGACAGAAAGAGAGAGAGGGAGGGAAGGAGGAAGGAAGGAGGGAAGGAAGGAAGGAGGGAAGGAAGGAAGGAAAGAAGGAAGGAAGGAAAGGAAATCATCAATAAGATGGCTATCAAAAAAAAAAAAAAAAGGAATCTCATCCATTTTGCTTTGAAAAATCCAGATAGGCTTGAGAGGAGAGTAGCAAGTTTGAAATTTTCTGAGTTTATACTGAATTCTATTTGAAATGAGAGCTCTGTGTGAGTATGGAAACTTGATCTCAACAATATCAAGAGATAATATATGAACATTCCTCCGACAGTTCCAGATGTACTGTTGTGTCAAGATAAATGCTGCCACTCATCTGAGGTCCTTCTCTTCTGCAAGGTATGTAAAACCTGAACTAATGTCATAACTGACTTTAAGGCAGAGGATGTTACAACTTATTTTCAACATGGGAAAGATGTTGATCATACTCTCCAGAGCCCATCACGCTCACATTTAGTCTTCATTTGGGAGTTGTAATATGACAATCAAATGCCTTGTTGTTTGCCTATTCTTTTACTGCTGGCAGCTTTAATACTTCCTAAAGTGTTGGGCAAACTCTTCCTGAAAGTTTGCTTTTTCTAAGTTCTAGCCTTACAATGCCAGGTCCTGTAGATGGTGGACACCCGCGGGTACCTTCCTCCCTCCCATTATTTTCATCAATCCCTCAACTTCTGTTAGCACAATGGAGTTATGGGATGCTATTACATGATGCATTCTCAAGCGTATAACTTCACTAGCCAACATCAGATCGAAAAATGGCCTTGAATTCATCATGAGTTTGACAAATCTTATATCAAACCATTCACTAATGCATTTGCAATTAATCACACAGTGAGTGCACAATTCCTTTTTTAAATATATTACGTTTTCTCTTGTGTCTCCTTTTAGAACTTTAAAGGAGTATATTATGTATTTGTGCTTTACGTGTGGTCTGTGCCTTCCTTCATATGTGCCTGTTTGCATACATGTGTCCTTGGGTATGTCTGTGTGTGTTTATATACGTACGTGTGCATATGTATACATATGTATTGTCTGCAAAGTGTCTCACAATACTATGTGAATGTGTGAAGTGTGTATATCCATGCGTATGCGTGCGTTTGTGTGTGTTGTGTGCTCCTGTGGGCTTGCCATGCAGAGTGAGATGCTTGAGTTTCCTTTTCCTTGGAAACCAGAGAGTTTGTCCTATTTTGCCTGTTGTTACATAAGCTGGATAAGTCGAAACTCAGTGGGTTTATCAGGAAGAAATGGATTTTGCAATCTCTCACTGTATCTGTTATTTCTTCCTCCCTGGTCAACACACTCTACTGACGTGAGTGTTTGCTGATGAATCATCACTCTGAGAAAAGCAATGACGTCGGGCTGTTTAAATGAAGTAACTGTGAAAGGACTAGTTATCTTTTTTTATTTTGCTTGGGAGTATTGATAAAACGATGTATTCTTATTTTGTTCTCTCAGAGTCTTGGGTGTATTTGGACATGCTGACCAAATTTGTCCATGGAAACTATTAAATTTCATGCATAGCTGAGCTCACACACAACAAAAAGTGGAGTTGGCTGTGCTGAGATGGAGGGTAGCAAGGATCCTGGCAGGTTATATGGTCCCCCAGGGCTCAGCAGCTGTCTACCTCGTTTCTTGGTAGCAAAATTCAATTTCCACTCTACCCACATGGGCCAGGAGTCAGCAGGGATCCACACTGGCTCACAGAATTTTCACTTCCTCATTTGTGAAACGTGACCAAACATATTAATCTCAGCGACAAGCAGATTAGAATACTGGACAGGATGAACAAATGCAACCATCAGACACAGAACTGCCCCAACAGTGCCAGATCGGGGTTGGAGGCAGATCCTGGGTTAGGGAGCAAGAATGTAAATAACATAGGGCTTGGAAGATCCTCTCAAGTTTCTAAATGATATCTTGTTTACCCCAATACATCTCCGAAAGTCTTCAGAAGTATTTTTTGCTAGAACACTATCAGTCAACTAGCCTACACAGACAGCTTTAGGGAGGGATTCTCTCCTCTGTGGTTTGCAGAGTGAAATTTCGACCTGTGTTTGTCACTTGAGGCTCCCTGTCATTAAACCTCCACTTCTCTTTACAATATAATCCTCTGTGCATGCTTTCTCAAGCCCTTTGCAGGATGGCCCCTTGTTTCCTATGCTGACCCACATCATCAAGTACCCCCTGAATCTGCCTTTAGAAAATGCTTTGTCGAATTTCTTCTCTGATTTCCTGGCCTGGATATGTGAGGTATCTTTTTTGTTTTGAGGAGAAATTTTCCAGGTGGGCATTCTAAAATACATGTTAGAGAAAATAAATAAATAAATAAATAAATAAATAAATAAGAATAAGAATAACCAAGACATTTAGAAAGGAAAGGAAGAAGTGGAGGAGGAGAAGAAAAAGGAGAATGGAGAATATACCCCATCTCCTATTAGATCTTCCTGAGAAGCAAAAGTAATCAAGACAACCTGGTGTTGTAGACAACTGGATCAATGGGACATGATGTTGAGCCCTGATGAATGACAGAGGCAGTATGACAGATGTGCATGGGAAAGAAAGTCTGTTCAATAAATGGACATGGGGTGATAAAAAAAATGTTTATTTATACATGTGCAGGAACAGTGGACTCTCTCATGTCATACAACAATCAACTCCCCATGAATTAAGGACTTAAGTATCAAAATTAAAGACCCAAGTAGAAAATATAAGAGCTATTCAATTTGAAAAAAAAAAAAAAAAAAAAAAAAGTCATACAATCCAAGTGTTAGGATAAGGACTAACTTAATCTCTGATATTGCTCTAGAATGTGCAGTTTGGCAGAAACATTTGGGGGAAAATGTTTTGTCATTATCTTAAATGTTAGATGTTGTTCTCATATGCTGTTCCAGAGATTTTACTCTTAGGTACTTTCCCAAGATAGGAGAAAAAACAGATTGACTAAGAAATTTCAGGATCACAGAAGGTGGTAACATTTAACTCCATACCTCAGGGGGGAAAAAAAGATAATAATGAAAGCCAGTGCAGAAATAAAAACAACTCAAAAGCATCAAGAATAGAACAGCTTTAAATAGAGTCAAAATGGAAGAACATAAGCTTAAGAAAAAATTGTGCAAAAGTAATTGGAAAATTACAAAGAGATCAACATCATTGGAGAGAAAATGAAATCTATGCTAAAAAAAAAAAAGAACACGGAAATTCTGCATGTTTGTTTTTCTTAAAAATAAAGGATAGCATAAATGAAACAGAATATATTCAAATATATTATGTGAAAATACTTCCCTAAAATACAGAAAATCTGCATGTGAAGTTTTAAAGGCCGCTGTTGTTGTTTATTGTTTGTCGTTTTGTTTTGTTTTGTTTTTCAGAAAACTGATACATACCTCTAAAGCCAAGAAATATCCTGGTAAGTTACTGAACTTGAAAGATTAATCAAACAAAAGAAGTCATAACTTTGATGTCATTTCTGTGAATGAACTAAATTCACATCACGTCTATTTAAATTGAGAACCAGAGTTAAAAACTATACGGAAATTATGGTGCAGAAAAGGCACAACCATTATAAACTAACACGATGTGAGACAATATAATTAATAGAAATTAGGACATCAATGTTCTTAATGAGGAAATTAAGAAAAAAATGTAATTGTATTGATTTCCTTGTTTTTCAGAAAAAATTCAGCATACTGATAAAAGTATATACCTCAAGAAATACAGGTTTATGTGTATTATTTATGAATACTGTGGTAACCACAAGACCCAAGAGTATATTATAAACTGTGCAGCTTTTCTGAAGGAACTGCACACACACACACACACACACACACACACACAATCAGCAGGAGCAACAACAAAGGAAATGGAAATCATAGCAAATCTCATTTTTCTCTCTACCTCCACATATAAATATATGAATTATTTATGTATATATTTCTTGTCTTTATACATTTCTTATGCTAGGACAACATACTTCACAAAGTAGGTACTCACAAAATCAATACTATATTGTAGGATATCAGGATCACCTCAGAGCCATTAAAACTGTTGCCAGCACCCCTTCCTTCCAGGACCTCCCAGCCACACCCCCCCTGCCCCCCACATCCCCGGCCACAGGCACTACCCTGGCCTTTTCATTCTCTAAAGTCCTGTAGCCTCTCTTATCTGTGATAGCGGTCTCTGACACAATTCTGGAATCAGAGAGAAGATATAGTTGGGAGGGATCTTCAGGCACAGGAAAATCACTTCACCTCTCTGCTTTCATTTCTTCCTTGTAAAATGCCTTCCTTTGCTTCTTCACCATTTCTAGAGTATGTGTCTTATTTTCCCATCAAATTCTGTGTTCATGGAACACTTGTGCTCTGGCCTTGAAAATCTTCTCTTTCCTACGAAGTGTGAAGCACTATCTTTTGCACATAGGAAGGGCTCCGTATCCAGCTATGTTTGAATGAATAGAGGATTAAATGTTAGATTGCACATATGGGGGCTTTATCCTGTGCTCAAAACTCTGCTGATCACTTCACATGCGTCGCATAATTTAATCTGCTTCGCAAGCCTACTTCTATTTTATGCTTGTACCAAAACATAAAGAGATTAGTAAACATGCCCAAACCAGGATTTGAACCCAGGTAGTCTGGCTCCTGACTTAATTACTATGCTGCATGGCGGAAACAAAGGGTAGCACGTATTGTACTGAACTCGGCGGACTTGTAGCATGTCTTCAAAGATTTAGAATACGTGGGTCACTTCCTTCAGCAGGTCCAGCTGCACCTGCACCAGGGAACTTCTCACCCTTTCAGCAGGTGGACAGGAAGCCCCAGGGGTAGAGACATGCTCAGTGAAGCGAGTGACCTACAATTTGAGGATGGTGGCAATCCCAGGCACCCCTGTGGCATAACACTCCTCTGAGAGCCAGGCCCACATGGGACTCACCTAAACAGGCACAAGACACGGCCTTCCTGCCAACCTGCACTTCCTCTGCAGGCAGCTCAAGAGGTGAGTGCTTCCTACTCAGTAGGCACAGGAAAGAGGGAGGAAGAGAGCCTTGGGCAAGTCCCAACTTTGAGGAACTAGACCAGGAGGTAGGTCTGCTCTTACTTGTGTGTGTCCACCTAGTGAATTATGCCACTTGAAATCCCTCAAAGCCTGTGTAGTTCTAAGAGCGTCATCATTACAACTGTAGAAATGTGTTTGTGTCTTCCAGAATTTTTAGTGTTATTTGCATCAAAAATAAACCTAACCTTGCTCATTTACCACGGACTCTCCATCACGGGTCGGCCATGCGGTCACTACCTCCTTTCTGCTCCTATAACGGCCCAAGACACAACATTTACTATATTATGGCACGGTCTTTGTTCTCCAACTGTCTCCCTGGCTAGACTGTGGCTTCTAGAGCAAGGGAAGAATGTGTTACGCATGTCTGCGTCAGCAGCACCTAGAAAACGAGTGCTTGACACTGAGCAGACAACAATGCATTTGTGAAGCACGTAAAGGAGAAACCAGCAGTCCAGTGAAAAAATAAAAATCTATCCAATGGAATTGAATCAAAAAGAACAGCTGAACTGTCCGATGGGAAAGCTGGTCTCCTAGCCCAAGACCCAGGGATTTTTCCCAAAGTTGAAGCCCCTGAGTTAGCATATTATTGATTTAAGTGGAATTTGAAGTGCAGGGAGAAGGTGGGTTATTCTCTGTGGCATTCAGGTCAACATCTCCCTTTTTACAAAATGCCGGCACAACATTTTACATGTGGCACATAAAATGATACCACATACCTTTGATGTATTTGCTACATATGCAAAACAAAAACAAACCTTATTATCTTACAGGAATAATTACTTTGACATCTGGGGACATTTCCTTCCCATTTTTGTTCCCATTCTCACACAAATGTGTGTAAATAGCTAGATTGCTAGATAAAGATAGTCCCCAAGACATGTTGACATTTATATCTCCAGACTCTGTTGATAGGGTACCCTACGTAGCAGAAGGGTCTTTTCAGATGTGATTAAGAACCTGATGTGGGAAGATTGTCCTGAACTATATTGGGTGGGCCTCACGTAATCACAAGGCTCCTTAGAAGAGGAAGGCAGGAGGGATTCAGAGGAGGAGACCTAAGGACAGAAGCAGGGGCTAGAGTGCTGCCAGGCACGAAATAAAGAATGAGTGAAACCTCTAGATGCTGGAAAAGGCAAGGAAGAGATCCTCCCCTAGACCCCAGAAGGAATGCAGCCCTGCTGACCTGTTTGGATTCCTGACCTCCAGAACTGTAACATAATAAATTCGTATTGTTTGAAGCCACTAGTTGGTGGCAATTTGTTAGAGCAGAGGCATAAAACTACCAGAAACTATGTTAGTTTCCTAGGGCTGTCCCAACAAATTACCATTAAAACAATGAAATTTGTCCCCTTAAAGTTCTAGAGGCTAGAATTCCAAAATGAAATGTTGGTAGAACCACGATCTCCCCCAAAGGCTTCAGAGAAGAGTCCGTCCTTGCTTCTGATAGTGGCTGGCAGTCCTTGGCGTGTAGATGCATCACTGCAGTCTCTGGTGTTATCATCACACAGCAGTCTCCCTCTGTGTTTGTGTCTTCACACAGCCTTGTAAGGACACCAGTCATTGGATTTAGGGCCCACCTTAATCCAGTATGATCTGAATTTGACCAATTCCATCTGCAAAGACCCTATTTTCAAATAAGATCACATTCTGAGATTCCAGATGAACATGAATTTGGAAGGATACTATTCAATACAGTATGTATTAGTAGGTAGGTAGGGAGACAGGTAAGTGCGTGCATAGATGATGGATAGATAGATAGATAGATAAACAACCTTTGTCAAAACCATTTTCATTGTTGTATAATATTTTGTTATATGTTTATAGCAGAATTATGTATTCTTTTCACTGGAAACACATTGTTATACTTACCGAAGCATCGGTTACATCACTAGAAGAACTGCCTTCATTTCGGAGTGCCACATTCTGCATGGGATAATAACAAACTGAAACTCACTTTGGAAAGAAAGGGCAAACCAGGACAGATAATGGACTCAAATCATTTCTCATGAAGGTCCATGGAAGGAACTGGAATGATTAATCAAGAGACGAGAAGCTTCAGGACATACATGGAAGATATCTTCAAAGACAGAATATACAATCACCTTGAAGAGAAATTAATCTTACTGTATTTTTCCCCAAGGTGTTGAACTGAGGCAAATGGATCCAAACAATTTCAAAGGGTAAAGTGCTGCAGTGACCTCACCTCTCTGTGTGTCCTTTTCCTCGAAGATCTGGAACCTGATAATCTTAGATCTTAGTAGTGCTCCAAAGTCTTCAAACAAATGTTTCCTTAAAATACATTCATCAAAAACAATGGATGGTATGAGATTTGTTTTTAACTGTCAAGAACTGCTAAGGGTCTGAGATTTTGCCCTTCTTGCAAATGAACAAGTTATCCTATTATAGTTCCAGACACGTTGGAAGATAAGAGACTCCTGAGTCAGATGCAAAGGTTGACTTGTTACTCATGGCAATAGCAGTAGCCCGTGTCATCGTCCTCTTGACCAGCCTCCAGACCCCAGGTCCCACAGGGTGATGTGGGTGATGTGGGTGATGTGGGCGGTGCCTGCATGTGCAAATGGCTGTTGACAAGAAACCCTGCACTCAGGAAACCCCAATCTTTTATAATGGTCTCTGCAATTCTGCCTGACCTTTGCCCCAGAAAGGTCTATTATTGCTATGGAAACAAGCTTGAAAAAGTCATCCACATCAAAAGTTGTCAGTGTATCATTGCTCACGAGACATGCAGAAATGCAAGAAACCCATAGGTATTTGTGTCTCAACAAGAGCCACTCCTGCTTCATTCTTATACCATCTTGGTTTCTGCTCAATTTCCCATGAGTTCATCACTACTTCAGCCACTTTGATTCCTCTGACCGGCAGGCACTGGAATCAATCAACTCCATTTGGTTTGTCTCATACAAGATTTAGTTAAGACTGGTATAAATAGGAGCCCAAACAACAAGATGAGGTCAACTTGAAGTATTAACTTCATACAGTTGAGAAGCAGAGTATGGATGAAGATAGAGGTGGAGGTGGAGGCTAGAGGCAGATGAGAAAGGATCCTGTTTGCTTCATTCTGCTTCCAGCTTATCTACTGGTGCTAAAGAGCCATCAAAGTATTTAGGAGGAGACTTATGCAGCTGATGTGCATGTGGAGTGATTCTCCAGGGTGGCCAAAGGGTTAACAACTTAGAGAAGATGCAATTGAGAGAGACCTAGTTCTAATGACATTTTAATAAAGCATTTGATAAACACTGAAGCTTGAAGAGAGTAGACTTTAAACATATATAGGAGGTAAAATTGAGAGAACCTGTAAGAGAAGGGAATAGGAGGGGCGCCTGGGTGGCGCAGTCGGTTAAGCGTCCGACTTCAGCCAGGTCACGATCTCGCGGTCCGGGAGTTCGAGCCCCGCGTCGGGCTCTGAGCTGATGGCTCGGAGCCTGGAGCCTGTTTCCAATTCTGTGTCTCCCTCTCACTCTGCCCCTCCCCCGTTCATGCTCTGTCTCTCTCTGTCCCAAAAATAAATAAACGTTGAGAAGGGAATAGGAGAGAAAGAAGAGTTCAGCATGACTCTCAGGTTTCTGGCTCGGGGGATAGTGTGGAGGGCATTCCCTAAGATAGGAAAGCATAGGACAGTGGTTTTTAAGGGGATTGACAAGCTCAGAGAAGCATGTGAAATGTAGACATGCACTGGGGTGTCTAGGAGTCATTAAAGTAAAGGATCTTAGGTGGATGGGGGAAAATGGGCTGAAAAGGTCAATTTGAAAGTTATCAGCACATAGGTTTTAACTAAAATCTGAGGGTTGGGATAAGAATTTCTATAGAAAATTTAATTAGAAAGCTCTCAGGAAGAGACCTGGAGAACAGCAAGGTAAAAGGCCTGCACTGGTGGGGGTGGGGAGGAAGGGTGAAGGGTGAAGGGTGAAGTTCTGCCATAGACGCCCTAGTAGAGTGCCAGAAGGAAGGAGTAATCAGCAAAGTGATTAACTACGAAGAGGATGAAAATTTGTTTTGGATTTAGCAAAAATAAGATCATCGAGGACCTGGAGGAGAGTAGCTCCATGGAAAGGTGAGCACAGAGGCCAGTTGTAGTGAGTTGTAAATGTCATCATAGGGCACGTATTGAGTATGTCCTTCAGCCATTAGGAAAATTTCACTATAAAGTGTCAATTCTTCCTAAGAATTAAAAGGAAATCCTTTGTGCTGCGACTTCCCGGGGCCTCTGATCTTACCAAAGGGAAAGCAGGAGATGTATAATTCATTCGTGTTTTATGTTTGCTTGGCAAGCACGCAGCACATTGAGTGGGAGGCCATACTTTGGGAATCCAGCAGAAGTAGCAGTAAGATGCCTTCTGGTAATGGGGGTGAAAGTGTGGTCAGCCCTTGGTGCAGAGTTTGTCAACCTTTATTAAAGAAAAAAAAGGGAGATGGTCTAGAAGTCTCAGTTGGGTCAGACAATGACACACCTTATGTCAATGCACACAAGCTGAAATAATGAACAGTTCCACCAAGCTCACATCATCTTGGTTTTAAATGTGTAAGCGCCAGAAAAAGATTTCATAAAAGTGTATCTGGAGGAAAATAGGAAATGTCACTGCTGCTGAGTTCTATTCAAAATGAGCAGGAGAAAAATACAGACTCAGGTAATTAGGTTCTTAGATCCAGCTCAGACTGTAACATCTGTTACCGTGCTGTCTTCCAAGCCTGATGTATTGATCACATGTTCCATGGTGGGAAGCAGAGGGTCCAGAGCTTTCCCTCATAAGAACAGGGCAAGAACTTGGGCTTTGAGCTGACCCAACATTGATTAGTTTGATGCCATTTGCAAGTTACTTAACTTCTCTGAGCTTCATGGCTTCCTGTTTGTATTTTTTGTTCATTAGAAGATGTTAGCAAGGCACATGGGTGGCTCTTGATTTCAGCTTAGGTCGTGGAATCGGACTCTTCCCAGGATTGTGGGATCGAGCCCTGCATCAGGCTCCGAACTGAGTGTGGAGCCTGCTTGGGATTCTTTCTCTCACTCTACCCCCCAACCCCTGCTCATACACACTCTCTCTCTAAAATAAAAGAAAAAGAAAAAATTTTTTTAAAAACTTAGCAACACTATATCAAAAGATTTTTGAGAAGATGAAACTTTCCTTTAAAATATTCAGGGGCACCTGGGTGGCGCAGTCGGTTAAGCGTCCGACTTCAGCCAGGTCACGATCTCGCGGTCCGTGAGTTCGAGCCCCGCGTCAGGCTCTGGGCTGATGGCTTGGAGCCTGTTTCCAATTCTGTGTCTCCCTCTCTCTCTGCCCCTCCCCCGTTCATGCTCTGTCTCTCTCTGTCCCCCAAAAAAATTAAAAACGTTGAAAAAAAAATTTTTTTTAAATAATAAAATATTCAAACAAGTCTATGAAATGCTTATAATATTATACAATGAAACTTTCTGGATTCTATTTTTTTCTTTTCTTTCTCTGCACCCTTTCCCTTCCTCCTCTCTCCCTTCCTTTCTTCCCTGCCTTCCTCCCCAGTGAATATCTGCTCCTTCAGGTAAATACCTGTCAAGAATCTTGGTGCCATCTTCTCAGAAATTTATATTATTACCTGGAGATCATATCCTCCAGAGAATGGGTGTGAATTTGGAAGTGCCCCCAGAAGCAGGAAGGCTCTCAAATGCCCTGGAATTCTCCCAAGCAGATTGACCCTTACTGGGACATGATTTCAACAACAAAACTTTTCCAAGCTTTACAACGACTCAGCTCCTGTGAGGGCCATATGCAGTTTTCCATCTCATTAACAAAAACCTATTTCTCATAAACCTTTAAAGAAAGAACAGCTCTTTCCCAAGAAAACAAACTCTTCTCACCCCAGTCTCTGAAATTGGATTGACTATCACCATGCAAACTGCAAACACTATTTTCCAGTAAAAATGACCCCCATCCTTCAGTCTTGGTGGGCTGGGAAGTATCTCCTTTTGATATTCCAGCTATCTGGTATTTTCTTGGTGTCAAGGGAAACTGTAATTTGGAGAGTCACAGCTATTCCATTTTCAGAGGCGAGAATGTGGAATTTTTTATCCCAAAATTTTAGGGGAAGGAAAACGAAACCGATGTCTGGCAAGGGAATATGTATTTCAAAGTCTCTTCATTACACTCAGGAGGACCTTTCAATTCCTTGATGGGGACAGGGAGTCTATTCCCATAGTCTACACTAAGGTCTGAAATAATGTTTACTGATATCCAAATGTGTGGCCGATTAGAAGTAAACAAGAAAAAAAATTGAAGTGGAATGAGAAATTATGGGCATACAGTATATCTAAAAGAAATGTTGGCTAATATTTGAAAAGGATAGTGAAATCTAAGTATGGCAAACATAAGAAACTAAAAGCCACGGCAGTTAATGAACATTCTGTGCTGAAGCACAGGCCAGGCATATGCCAGTCCCCCCAAGATCACCCCTCTGATGCTGTTCATCACATTGAGGGTTGTTTCATGCAAACACTGAGAAAAGACAAATGTGTACCTAAGGCAACCACTACCTTATCAAGACATAGAACATGTGCATCATTCCAGAAGTTCCCTCATTCCTCTGGCCCTGATGTCCATCTTGATAGGTTACTTTTTGCTGGTTTCAGACTTCCAAGTAGAAGGAATCATGCAGGATGTATTTCTTTGTGCCTCGCGTCTTCCATGCAACATCATGTTTTTCATCCCAATCATCTGGTGGGTATCACGTTTCCATTCTTTTTATTACTACATAAGTATTCCACTGTGTGAATATGCGAGTTTGTTTATCCGTTTACCTATGGATGACCATGTCTACTCAAGTCTGTTCATGAGCACGTGTTTTTGTTTGTCTTGGTAAATATCTAGGATTGAGACTACTGGCTTTTCTATGGTTAGTGTATATTTAACTTTTAAGAAACCACCCGTTTCCAGAGTGATGATACCATTTTACATACCTACCAGCAATATGCTAAAGTTCTCATTTATTTTTCTGTTGTTGTTTTCTGTGGGGTTTTTTTGTTTGGGTTTTAGGGTTTTTGTGTGTTTGGTTGGTCGGTTGGTTGTTCTTTGGGGTATTTTAGAGAGACCGAGAGGGGCAGAGGGAGAGGGGCAGAGAGAATCCCAAGCAGGCTCCAAGCCCAGCACAGAGCCTGATGCAGAGCTCAGTCTTACAAACCGTGAGCTCATGACCTGAAATCAAGAATTGGACGTGTAACCGACCGAGCTAGCTAGGCACCCTTAAAAGTTAGTTCTAAATTCTTTACATCTTCACCCACACTTAGCACTGTCTTTTTATGATTTAGCCATTGCAGTGTGTGTGAAGTAATATTCCCACTGTGGTTTTAATCTGCATTTGCTTTATGACTAATGAACAATTCATAAAGCAGGCATCTGCAAGGGAGGTCTATGGGCAGGACCAGCTGCATAGAATACAGGGAATAAAAACACAGGGACATTTGCATAAAAGTTAAGAAAAATTCCAAGATGACAGCAGCAAAACATGAAACAAAGCAAGAAGCCTTTCTAAGTGCAGGACCTTGTGGATTGTCAAGGGCACGTGAACTTAAACCTGGCCTTGCCTGTGGGCCACATCCAGTCCAACACCTGCTTTAGTATGGCTCATGAGTCAAGAATGGTTTTTATATTTTTTAATAGTTAAAAATGAAAAATTCATATTTCACGATACTTGACAATTATAAGAAATTCAAATTTCAGCATCCATAAATAAAGTTATATTATAACACAGCCATGTTCATTTGTTTATGTATTATCGATGGCTGGACAATGACAGTGTTAGGAGTTGGAACAGAAACTGTATGGCCCATAAAGTATAAAATATTTACTGTCTGGTGCTTTATAGAGGGAGTGCCAACTCTTCATATGTTCATCTAGCCATTTGTATATTTTTTTGAAGTGTCCATTCAAGTCTTTTTTTTTTTTAACGTTTATTCGTTTTTGAGACAGAGAGAGACAGAGCATGAACAGGGGAGGAGCAGAGAGAGAGGGAGACACAGAATCTGAAACAGGCTCCAGGCTCTGAGCTGTCAGCACAGAGCTCGACGTGGGGCTCAAACTCACGGACCGTGAGATCATGACCTGAGCCGAAGTCGGATGCTTAACTGACCAAGCCACCCAGGCGCCCCTCAAGTCTTTTGTCCATGTTTAATTGCAGTGTTTTTTTTCTTTAATATATTATATATTAATATATATATTATATATATTTATATATATATTTCTTTAATATATTATATATTTTTCTTTATATATTATAGATAAGGTTCCTTCATCAGATGTATGTGTGAAGGATATTTTCTTCACATCTCTGACTTGACTTTGTATTTTGTTA